CTCACAGCAACCTCAAACTCCTGGGTTCAAGCAATTCTCTTGCCTCAGCCTCCTAAGTAGCTGGGACTACAGGCACCTGCCACAATGCCTGGCTATTTTCTTTATAGTTGTCATTGTTGTTTAGCAGGCCCAGACCCGGTTAAAACCCTCCAGCCCTGGTTAGAACCCTCTAGCGCCAGTGTACGTGGCTGGCACCCTAACCACTGAGTTACAGGTGCTGAACCACTATACATCTAGTTGTATTATTTCTTTAAGTTCCTCTTGACTGTTGTTTCTCAGACTGTCCTTATTTCTGATAACATTGATGGTTTTGTCAGTTATTTTGTAGCATGCCCCTCTGTTGGGGTTTGTCTGATGCTATATATTTGTGGGAGGAAAACCACAGAGGTAAAGTCATTGTCATCAATCGTGTCAAAGGTATCCTGTCAACGGGACTTGTCACTGTCAGTGTTGGCTGAGGTAGTGTCTGTTAACTGTAAAGAAACTCTTTAGCTGTGTGTTTGTAAGTTCATGCTTACTTTCAGAACCAAAAGGGCAGAAATTGGCAGGTAGTTTGCCAAAATACCCAAGAACCATATAGTTTGGATAAAGACAAAATTCAGGGTTCTTCTGGGGCGGGTACCTTCCAATCTACCCTCTCTCTCTTAGCCATTTCTGCCTCTCTGCATCAGCCAACCTGATCCTCAGAAAGTCCTTATTTACTTACTCCTTTGCTTAGGGCCTGTGACTTCCTTACAGTCTCACTTTCTCTATCTCTCTGCATCAGGCTCCTTTTCCACTGGCTAGCTTCAAATTCTTCCTCTGAAAGCAGGAGTTCCTAACACCCCCTCTCCCCACTGCCTCTCTTTGGCCTCAGGAAGTTGCAATTAGGTAGATTGACTCTATGTGGGACAGATGTGGTGTGAGGACAACATGAATCTAAAGATACTTGGTTTGGAGAGGTTTTCTTAAATTTTAAAGGCAAATTTATTCTCCAAGCTACCACTGGCAGAGGAATTCCAGGGAATGGTCTGATTGGCTCAGTGTGATTTCCCGTTCATCTCTGAACCAATCAGGGAGACAGTGTTGGTGGCAGGAGAGTGGAATACAGTTCTCTGATTGGCTGACTGTGAGTGGGTGGAAGAGGGAGGGTACAGTAAGTCACCTTGATTGACAGCCTCCTCATACCTCCTGGAAGGGGGAAGGTGTCCCCCCAAAGGAAGTGGGATGGCTGACCGAAGGAAGGAAGGCCATGTGCACAGCTCCTGGGGTCACCATTCTCACAGAATCACACAGACAGGCACATCCTTCTTCCTTGCATAAAATTCCAAAACAGCTACACCAGCTACCCAGGATTAATACAGTAAAACAGACTTACGCAGTCCCAGTAGGAACCTTCACCTCATAGGGGCTACACGTGTCTCCATTTCAGGATCTCCACATGACGTGCCTTCTTCCAGTTTAGTCTGGATGTGGCTTCTGAGAGCTGGGAGCCTAAGCCCAGATGATAAATTCATTTACCTTTAAATTACATATGCCACACCCTATGCAATGTTTGAGCATATATAATCTGGAGGCATAATATTAACTGAAATATGATTATTCTACAAATATTAACTGAGTCCCCACCATGAGCAAGACACTTTTTTTTTTTAGAGTTTTCTTTAAGTTTATTATATACACACATACGTCACAGGGTTTTTTAAAGTCTGTGTAATACACAAGACAATATAAACTAGCTACCATCTGCTAGCTACACACGAGGACATTAACACAGCCCATGATTTCTGCCCTACCTTGTTGGTTTTTTAAAAAAATTTCTATGGGTCTCCGGTTATTCATCTATAAAATGAACACAATTCTTTCCTATTTGCTTTGTTGTGTGTGTGTTTTTTTTGGCAACAGGGTCTCACTCTGGCACCCAGGCTAGAGTACAATTGCATCACCACAGCTCACTGCAACTTCAAATTCCTGGGCTCAAATGATCCTCCTGCCTCAGCCTCTTGGAGGCTGAGACTACAGAGTACACAACCATGCCGGGCTAATGTTTTAAAATATTTTGTAGAGATGAGGTCTTGCTGTGCTGCTTAGCCTATAAAATCAACACACTTTCATTTGCAAACTCAGAGGTATTACATATCAAATAATACAGCACCTGACACCCAGTATACCCAATAAACAATACCTGTTATTCGTACTCCACCGTGCCTGATACTCTTCAATGAAGTAGTCTTTGAGTTTTAAATATGTTGCATTGTGTGTGGAACAATAAAATAAGTTACAAGCAGCCCAGTAGCGAAAGTAAGAGTTACTCACTTGTATGGATCAGAAATAATTCCAAGAGGTGAGTCTAGTGTACTCAGCGAAGAGCCAGCCCCCACTCTCCCAGAGAGTGATTGTTACAGCTCAGCCCAGCCGGGAAAGTGCCCCTATTGGATGCCCTCAGCTTTTGAATCCTCACCGTTATAGGGCGTAATTAAGCTTTATTAAGTTTCTCTGGTCTCACTCTCCATTAACAGACTGTTTTTCCCTCCTGCGCTTTCTCTGCATTTCCAGCAGTTTGATTGTTTTCAAAATATAACAAGGATTAATACATGGTAATTGGCTCATTCAAAAAGTACAGCGAGCGTGCCAACTTCGGCAGCACATTACTGTAAAGTGGAACAATGCAGAGAAGTTTAGCATGGCCCCTGAGCAAGAATAACATGCAAGTTCATGAAGCATGAAATATATATATAGAGAGAGAGAGGGAGGGAGAAAGAGGGGGGGGAGAACATCTCCTGTGCATCAAACATGCTTATAAACAAGAGAGAGGCAGGAGGGATCGTGGCAGACACTGACTCTGCCCAGAGGTGCTGCTATTTTGATGGAAAAGAAAGACAAACAGAGAGAAACAGACACAAGTCAGGAAGTGATAGAACTCTAAAGAAAAAATATAGCAAGGGAAAGGGGCGTATGGGGGTTTAAACACAGGCTCTCTCTCACCGCTGCTCCTTCGTGAGAGGGGCTCACTTTCAACTCTCTTTGGAAATGCTCTAGACTTTGTCTTTGTTCTTCTTAAATAAAATTTCTCCCTGTTACATTAAAAAAAAAATATGCCTGCACAGTCCTTGGCACTCCTCCCTTCAGAGAAGGAGGTCCAGTTCCCTTCCCTGTGTGTGTGGGCTGGACTGAGTGCCCATATCTAGCTAATAGAATACATCAGGGTAAGGCTGGGGGGCGCGGTGGCTCACGCCTGTAAGCCTAGCACTCGGGGAGGCTGAGGCAGGTGGATTGCTTGAGCTCGGGAGTTTGAGATCTTGAGCAAGAGCGAGACCTATGTCTCTACTAAAAATACTATCGGAGCAGTAGTCCCAGCCTCTGCCTGTAGTCCCAGCTACTTGGGAGGCTGAGGCAACAGTATTGCTTGAGCCCAAGAGTTTGAGGCTGCTGTGAGATACGAAGCTAAGACATTCTATCGGGGGTGACAAAGTGAGACTCTGTCTCAAGGAAAAAAAAAAAAATGAGGAACCAGGCCCTACTCCTACCTACAGAACTTGAACAAGACCCCCAGGTCTTCCCCATGCACGTTCAAGTGTAAGAAACATTCTTGTAGGTTGGGTTCCACTCTGGCTGCAGGTTTGAAATACCTGGTGAACTTTTAAGGCCATACTAATAGCTAAGCCTGGGGTGAGGGAGGATGTTGGCTTTCATGGTTGCTAAAGCTCCCAGGTGACTCTAATCCCTGGATCTCATCCAGTCTTTCAGAGAAGTCCATTGGTTCTGCGCTTAAAATGCATCCCAAGTCTGACCACTTCTTGTCACTCCCATTGCTACTGCCTTTGTCCAGGACCATCATTTCTTAGCTAGACATTGGAATCTAGCAGCCCCTGAAAGTACAGTCAGGACTCAGGTACTCCAGGCCCATGGTTCTCAAATTTTAGTGCTTCTGGGCTAATACATACATTACTTGGAGAGTTTGTGCAAATTACTGCCAGCTGCACCCAGGAATTTCTGAGTCAGTAGGTCTTCGGTGAGTCCTGAGAATTTGCATTTCTAACAAGTTTATAGATGCTGCTGGACCAGGGTCATGGCTTTGATTACCATTAAAATAGCTTCAATAAACAGTTGGCCAGGTGAGTGTAGTGGCTGTTATGCCCACACTTTGGGATGCTGAGGCAGAAGGATCTCTTGAGGTCAGGAGTTCGAGACCAGCCTGAGCAACATAGCAAGACACTCCTATTTCTACAAAAAAATTAAAAAAAGAAAATTAGCCAGGCACAGTGGCGCGTCCTTAGTAGTTCCAACTACTCAGGTGGCTGAGGCAGGAAGAAGTTTAAGGTTGCTGTGCACTAGGCTGATGCCACGGCACTCGTCTGGGGCAACAGAGTGAGACTCTCCATCAGAAAACCAAACCAGGGTGGCACCTATGGCTCAGTGAGTAGGGCGCCGACCCCACCAAGGGTGGTGGGTTCAAACCCAGCTCCGGCCAAACTGCAACAAAAAATAGCTGAGCGTTGTGATGGGCGCCTGTAGTCCCAGCTACTCAGGCGGCTGAGGCAAGAGAATTGCCTATGCCCAAGAGCTGGAAGTTGCTGTGAGCTGTGATACCATGACTCTCTACCGAGGGCGACAAAGTGAGACTCTGTCTCTAAAAAAGAAAAAAAAAAAAAAAAGAACAAGCATTAGTTGTATGTTGAGCATATGTAATAAATTCACTGCCTCACTGAACATGTACCATGCAACCCATTTGTGGAGGTGGAGTACCCAAGTTCAAAGTTACCTTGGTAAAAACAGTATCCACCCTCATTTGTGTTAAAAATGTTTCGATTGGCCTTTTCTTTTGGTGTAGAGTTTGATGCATTTTAACACATGTGTCAATTTGTGTAACCCACCACTACAATCAGGACACAAACAGTTCATTACCCCAGATACTGCTGGACCAGGATCATGGTTTGATTGCCACTGGAATAGCTTGAATAATGTTAGTTGGGTGGGTGTGTGCGGTGGCTCATGACTGTTATGCCAGGACTGTGGGAGGCTGAGGCAGGAGGATCACTTGAGGTCAGGAGTTTGACACCAACCTAAGCAAACTAGCAAGATCCTGTCGCTACAAACAATTAAAGAAAAAAATTATCCAGGCACAGTAGTGCATGGGTAATAGTCACAGCTACTCGGGAGGCTGAGATTGCTTGAGTCCAGGAGTTTGAGGTTGGTATAAGCTATGATGCCAGCACCTTCCTTCTATCCCTGAGGATTTGGGGATGGGTCTACACAGGGGTGAAGTGGGGGATGGGGAAGATAGATGGACTCAAGTGTAAGGATTGAGGACTTGTGGGTGTCCCCACAGAAACCCAGCAGGTCAAGATCGAGATATTATTTCACCCTCAACCTAGGACTGAATTGGCACAGCAGATAGACTTCATCTGTTGTATCAACTCCGACCAACTGCCTGGCATGCAGGGCTGGGAATGCTCTGAGGCATATCAGGGTGTGCGTGAAGAGGGTCCTGATTGGTCAGTGATGCCTCTTGGGCACACAGCCTAATAAAGAGTTGTTGCCTGTGCTGGGGAGTGTTGTGAGTATCAGGGTTGGATTGTTGACCACCAGAGGGTAGGGAAGGATGGAGGGAATGGGAGAAAAAACAGCCAAGCCCAAATCAGATACTCACGTGTATTAGATATCAGATCTGAGACGTTCCATCTTTGAAATACTTATACAATTTGTCTTTAGTTGTGCTCAGAAACAACAAAAATCATGACTTTTTTTATAAATGCATAAAATCTTAGGGACACAGAGAATTAAAATACAAGAAAGACCGTATCATTATGTCTATCTGGGTATTTAATAAGTGCTTAGAAATCCTTGGTTGATTACAATTTGAAGCTATCCCAGAAGCTTCAAATACAGCGAGCGGTGAGCGGTACTCAAAGGAAGCAAGATCATCAAAGAGAAAACGAGGAAACGACTTGACCCACCAGTAGGAGACCATAGTCTGTCCAGACAAGAGACTTCTATAAAGGGGCAGCAGGAGGGGACTGAACTGTTTTGTACTCTGATTGTAGCAGTGTTTACACAACTCTCAAAGTTGTCGAGTGTACACACATACAAAGTTAAGTAACAAAAACCGTCTAAAATCTATTCGGCCATTAAACATGACACAGTATAGAACTGGGTTTGCCAAAATGTGGTGCCCGCACAGCTGGCTGTACACAAGATGACGTAAATAGGTAGATGAGCACATTCATTTATATTTGAGGACTATATAGCTAGTTTAGCAAGCTTACAATTTCCAAGAGACAAGTTGCATGAGGTTAGTTTAGGCTAAATAATAATGTGAGTTACATGAAGGAAAAATATAAAGTAAATAATTAAACAAGTGTTATGGATATACAGCCACACTTTTTTTTTTTTTT